CCCCAAAACCCCAAAACCCCAAAACCCCAAAACCCCTTTTAATCACATAAATATTGGAAAGTACTCCCTTATCAGTTAGAATTCAATAATAGTCCTGTGATATGTGGCTGTCTCACTCAACTCCTTCCACTTGCTTGGGAACTCATCGATAGACACAACGTGGTCTTCAGGGTACAAGTATTCAGAAATGCTATCGGTGATTTCGGAGTGGTCTTTAAGCAAGTCCTCGTGATCATGAGCGATATTGACATTACCCATGAACGACCCAATCCAGTGTCTGCCTGTGACTAACTGGAATGGCTTTGTTGAAATAGTAGCATCTTTCTCGTCAGATTTTGTAAGGAGAGCACATTTACCCCATCCTTTGTGACAAATCTCTAAAGCAACAGTTCCAAATCTTTTGAAGTTAGACGCTTCAAATGTGAAATCATATCCAGAAGCAGACTCTTCCATCAACTTTGCTTGCACATCTGTAGGTTCTCCTTCATCAACAATGTAGGTTGCACCAAACTTCTCGAAGACTTCTTGGTCATCAACATTGCCTACGACTACCACTTTCTTTGGGTTGTACTTCTTCAGTCCTGAAATCAGAGTCAGACCCACACTGTTAGATCCGAAGATAGCAATTGTGGCGTCTTCATCAACTTTAAGAACTCTCGAAGGAGCAAGGTATCCAGTACACAAAGCTGATCCCAAAGCTGCATCTTTGATGGTTGGTTCTGCATCGAGCTTTGTCAAATGGGCAGCATGGAAGCAAGCATACTGAGACCATGTTCCAACTCCCTGGAATCCAGCAATGCTCTTATCATCTGAATAAGCTTGCAAATGAGCTGGGAGTTTCCAAAACTTGCCCTTTCCAAGAATTTTAACTGCATGATCAGGCAAGTTTGTTTTGCCTTTAAGAGTGGGGTTGCCTGGAACATAGAATACAGCAACAGAGTCGCCTTTCTTGTACTCTTCGACTCCTTCACCAACTTCATCAACAATTCCAACTCCGTCATATCCAGCCAAGAAAGGATACTCTGCATTAGAGTCGTAGCTGTGGTGAAATCCGTCGTGTTTGCTGAATGAAGCGTACTTCATTTGGACTCTGACGAAGCCTGGAGCTGGAGCCTTGACGTTAAGAGTGGTGACTTTGAACTCGTCTCTGTCTTCGGTCTCTCAAATGATGGCTTTGCTGTCTAAACCTGTTTCCATGTTACGGTATTTAATTTAATATATCTAACTTAATGGGGTTTTGGGGTTTTGGGGTTTTGGGG